AATTATTTTTCATATCCGTTGGATCCTTCATATCCGTTGGATATGTTTCATATCCGTTGGATACCCGAGGACTTCTCTCGTGACCCGTAGATGGGGGACACGAATATATTTCATTAATTTCACACAAAAATTTCGCAAATCCTACTACATGTTTCAAAAAATGTAAATGACAGTTTATAATTGGCTGACTATTTAGAAAATATTGTATGTCACAAATTTCTACCTTCCATTTATTAGTTTCCAAATGTGAAGTTTTGAAATTCTCGAAAATACGGAGACTTCAACGAAAAAGAGACTTCCACCATTCTTTGAAGCGTCCTTTGTTCTATGTGTGGAAAAAATCTAAAGAAACTTTCGGTATGGTTTTTGAGAAAATATTGTTTTTAAATTGCATAATTTCAAGCGCAAATTTCGTAAAACTACTGTTTTTTCTAAGAATTGTATATGACCTTTTTTAGAGTTGATATTTTACAACAGATTTTGTTTGAGACCAAAATCTCTACCTTCAATTTCGTAATTTTAAAATGTTAACATTTTGCAATTTTCAAAAATGGAAATATAGCCGAGAATGGGAATAGCGCCATATTTTTCACCGTCCTTCATTGCTAGGAGGCGAATTTTAATAAAATGTTCTCCCATAAATACTAGGTGTATGCCGGAGCAGTATCTTAACAAGCAAACCACGAGCCTCTTGCGATCTTTTCTTCGTAATCCTTGTCCCCCTCCTATCCTCACATACACGTAAAATGCACATAGCCTTTTAATATATTGTAATGTGTTAAGAATAAACTGCGGAAATTGAAGTGTGCTCTTTGCTTAACATATTGAATGATCTTGACTGTCCGGGTGACGCCACGTCGCAGGCTGTGTTGCCGATGTTTCGACCATCGTAGTCGTGGTCTTCTTCAGGACCAACCCTGAGGAAGACCACGAGAAGATGGTCGAAACATCGGCCACACAGCCTTCGAGGCGCGGTACCCGGACAACCAAGATCATTCATATGACTCCGGTCGCGTAAGTATACGACTTCATTTGGTTAACAAAATGTTCATCCATTACATTGTCGACCAATCGTCATTTTGTCCCTAGCTTAGTTGTAAGTTTCTCCTTCATTAGTTTTTGTCTAAAATATTCGTCTAGTCGTTTTTAGCACTATGTGAATTTCGTCCTGAATATTTTTCGTCCCTGTCTGATTCGGTCCATATTGTTTCCTGGAAATGTTTGGAGTAATTATTACAAAAAGTAAAATTCGAACCAAAAGATAGACATAAGAATTACATTACATAAATAATAAATCAATTTCAGGTTTTGTTTTAAAATGTGTAATTTACTCGACATCAATCTTCAAGTTCGCGGTTCTGCTGGTTGATGTGTATTTTCAGCTGGTATGACACTGCCCTTCAGTATTGCTTCACTACTCCATTTTCTTTATGTTCATTGTAGTCTTCGGCATATTCTTAATAATGGCATGTTCTGATAATGTGCGGCATGTTCTTAATGATTATACTACACCACTTTTCTTAGGTTTTATGTAGGGATGAAATTTAGTATTGGCCGAAAATGATATTGGCTTAAAGCCTTCGGACTCGTTATTCCATCATAATCGGAACCAATTTTATGAGAACTGAAAAAAATCTGTGGGCGACATTTACTATTAGACGAAAGTGTAATGAACTATCACTATTGAGCTTAAGTGTATTTCAGAAATAATTTTGGACCACATTTTTGTTGGACGAACATTTTTGAAAACTGCCGTTTAACAACTCACAAATACCACCGAAGTGCACAATTCTTATTTGCCGATAAAGTCCATTCACATAATTCCATTTTTGAGAGAAATACGGTTCACGATGTTGGGTAGGAAATATTTAAACAACATTTTTACGCTCTTTATGCAATTTCCATTTATTTGGAGACCAAAAGAGCATGGGTGAGAATTTGCAATATTAATACAATTATTTTTAAATATCAACATAAATAATTATTATTACTTCGAAAATAGTTATGGTGTGGGGTCGTACTAAATTAGATCCCCTAAAACACTTTGTGGATCCAGTGAGAGCGTAGGCTTCACTGCACTAATTATTTGGCTATCCAGGGCACAGGTGCCAACGTTTCGGTTGCCATTCTGCGACCATCATCAGGGCGTAGTTATTGCAATAACTTTGTGGATCCGCCCCATTCGGACGAAGATGTGGAACTAAAAATTTGATTTCTGCTGCGTCTTAGAAATTTCTTCGGAATTTTTCAAAGAATTGCTGTCTTAGACTGTGATGCATGGTCAAGGTTTTTGTGTTATCCATGGTAATACGTTTACGATTATTGAGATAATACAATTTTTCTTAGAAAATGTAATGTTTATTGCAAGCACAAAAAAAAAAAAGAATTATTTTGCTGTTTCATAACATCCCTGATATTTGGCTGAATAATACTACAAGGATCCGAAAGTAACACAATGATCACAGAGAAAACCTTCATTTTGCAAAAAATTCAAACATAAAATTCTTGAAAGTATAAAAATTACGACAGTCTTGAAGGTTGAAAATAACTTGATAAATTGATAACTCATGTTTACATTTTCCGTGCAAACCATTCACGCGCTTCATAACTGACGAAGATAAGAAAAGAACAACTAATCTCGGTCCAGATCAACGATATATGGCATCCCTACGATATGATCCTTTCCCACTTCAGATACAACGCCTCAGAAACAATGTTCTTGTCAGTCACTTCACTTCAATGGGACACTGGCTCTCGACTGTCACCGAGACAATGGTGCCCCCGCGCATTGACGCCATCGATAACAATCGCGATTATTTGGAGAGTGGGCGATTGCAAGGGGCCACGTGGTGACGGGCGGTGCACGCGGTTCATTCTTTCGGTAGCGAAATCAAACGGAAACCTTTTTTGGACCAGAACGTGGATTCTGGCCATACAAAATGGCTGAGAAAGTAATTTTCTACGGGTGGCATTATCCATTTTTTTCGATATCAAAGGACATCAATAAGAGTTTTTTTTTCTGTCGGAAAATCTCTAGTTTTTGCTACAGCATTATTATATTTCCTTTTTGAAACGTAAGTACGTAGTATGGCGAGAAAGTAAAGTGGATCACGCGTGAAATGTGCTGTACATGATAAAAGGTCCAACGTGGCCATAATCAACAACATTTTTGTGGTTATTTTACAAATAATACAACTATTAAATGCTTTTGTTACTAGCTAGATAAGTATTCAGCATCGTCTGGAGGATAATTTTAGCGTCAGGCTGCTCTGAACGGTAGTTTTCCGTGGATTCTACGATCAACTCCAGGCGAATGTCGGAGAAGCTCCCTCAGAAGCGCGCCGTGGATTGCACGCAATACTTTCCTATCCTTGTTCCATCCTCTCTTCTTAGACATGCACTACACTAGCATGTAAGCCAAAGGCCAGTGGGGTTTCGGAGATTGTCCCAGCTTGGGCCGGACCCGCTGGCGGAGATATGGGAAGCTGGCGGACGGGGAAGACAAACAGACATGTAGCTTGGCGCCGAATCTCACACGCTAACAGGAGAGGAACACCAACAAACATCCCAACAAGTAACATGCCTTACTCTTATGGGACTTATAACGAAAGCAGTTGACGAGTTCGAAAGCGTTAATCAAACATATTAAAAACGGTTTGGTTACTGAGCTAAACTCGTTTTGTGGAACTCAATGGGCGATTAATTACACATAAAAACGGATTCAGCATAGAAATGCTGATCCCACCCCTAAAAAAAGTCAGGCGCACGTCTCCCTGGGAAAATATGACTGGTTCTCGGGGGGGGGTACAGTTGCATGTTCACGTGGTTCTGAAATGACCGATTCGCGACTCGAAAAAATGTAATAATAATTATTAACTAAATGATAACATCATCCTATCCCCCCTAATTGATATTCAAGGCTAACAATCTTGTCTTAACCAAGGGACGCAATCGAAAAGCTAATCCTCATTATTACACATGTTCATCTCTCCAGGATAAAACTGAGCCTCGGAGAGAGAAATGTTTTGCCTGGTCAGTAGAGGCACATACGCGAACAACAACAACAACAATAATAATGATAATAATAATAATAATAATAATAATAATATAATAATAATGAGTGATAATAGATAAAAATAATAATAATAGAAATGCATGCCGTATTGTCAGAAGCCATCTGAAACCTTCAGTAAAGCAACCACACAACCTGGTCATCAATTATCTGTGTGTTGTTGGACATACCGACAGTAGATGCTGTGAATAATGTAATAATAATAATAATAATAATAATAATAATAATAATAATAATAATGCTGCGGCAGCCGTCGTCTGCGCCAAGGACGTTACAGGTTCGAGTCGTACATGCTTATCCTGGTGGTATTTGTAATTGTCTCTTCAATCCTCATCATCATCTCATAATTGACTCTTCAAGGCGCAACAACCTTGTGGGATACTGCTGTAAATCTGACCCTTGAAAACCTCCACACGTTAATCGTGTAGCGTGGGCAGTAATATCCTATGCGCCAATATTATTAATAATAATAATAATAATAATAATAATGATAAATATTTAAGGATGGGATATTGCTTTTACCCTGGTGCGCGGGGACGCCAGAAGGAGGCTGCGGGCGCTCGAGCGGTGGCTGGAGCACGGGGCGAAGGTGGAGTGGGAGAAGTCACGCGCGGGAGGAGTGGAGAGAGTGTGTGCGAGATCAGGGTAGACAGGCCGGTGTGCTAAGCGCGAGTGGCGCGGGGCAGGGAGGGAATGGGGAGAGGTGGAGTGTTTGAGTGGCTGGCGACTGAGCGAGGCGAGGCGGAGTGGAACAATACGAAACGGAGCGAGCGGGTGACGCGGGAGGGGGAGAGGGGTTTGAGTTGGTGGCGACGCGTGGCGAGCGAGCAGGGAAGGGGACGGGAGGGCCCAGGGGAACCCTTGCACCGGGGCTACTCCACCTGTGTTAAAAGCCGGCGGAGCCGCCTGGGAGCGCCAGTCCCTCGCCATGCGCGCCGCCGCCGCCGCCACCGCCCTCGCCCTCCTGGCGCTCGTCGCGGGCGCCTGCGCCGCCCGAAAGACCTACGCGGGGTGAGCACCACTACCGATCTATTCACTCGTGGATACAGGTTTTCGTTGTTTAACGCACGAGCTATATTATAGCTGGGTCCACTTCAGCCGCTGCCTGGAGAGGTGAATTCTAGGGGCCGGCTACTCTGATCGGTTGTCTTCCGTGGTTTCTCCGCTCAACACCAGGCGATTGTCGGAGCATTGCCCTAAAAAAAAAACGGGCCACAGCCACATATGATCTTTCCTTCCTTTTTTTCTGCATGCTGTTTCCTTCATAATCACTTGTGTGTACAAGACCGGCAAAGGTGGTTCAGGGTTTTAAGTGATGTTTCTACAATATCTCATACCGGGAGGTTGTAGGGTTTGAGGCCCGACGGTGGCATAATTTTCAATACTAGCTACACAACTAGGTCGAATTCGGTCGCTGACTGGAGGGGAATTCTACCGGCCGGCTGCTCTGATCGGTGTTTTTTCGTGATTTCTCCAATCAACACTAGGCAAATGCCGGAGCAATGCCTTAACAAACGGGCCACGGACCGCGTCCGGCCTTTCCTTTCTCTTCTTTGTTCTGTCCTAACAACTTACACTCATTACCTTATCACAATTGCCAGGAAATCATTAGGTAGCTTAGAGTTTGTCCCCGCTGGGGCGGTGCACCGCTGGTGGGAGATATATTCCCTGCAAGCCAACATAGGTCGTCATAGGATCTCATCATCGGGAATAATGATACATTTACCGGAATAATGATGTTATCAGTTGACTCGTCCGGAATCATTCAATCAATCAATACATGAACAACACTATCGCACGTGGCGGGAGGCAGGTTAGAAGCTTCTCCCGGCTAGGGCGATGCGAGGAGTGGAAATGGGGGAGGTGCGCAGGAATCACGTGGAGGTCATTTGCTAATAATGCGTACTAATTTTTCAGCAATCTGAGTCTGGGTGTTATAGGATGTGTTTCACAATAGTATACCGTATGTCAGGCGGAAATGGACATTCGCAAAATACATACAATGAGTTTTATGGGGTGACTGACTGAATTTGAAATTATTCTTTATGTAACTCAATGAAGGTAATTTTGAGCAAAATTTATTTTTATGGGTACAAAAGGCCTACTGAAGCAAAACTGCTCCTGTTCAGTGTGTGGAAAATAGGGTAGTGGAGCAGCAGAAATTTGCTGTTTTGAAACGGACGTATGAATATTGAAGCTTTCTCTTCGCAAGACATCAGCTGTGTCGTGAGGAGTGACGCACTTACTATGAGAATATAGTCGTCATATCAGGTATGAGATATTGTGGGTTGTCGTTGTACAAAAAGTTCATTTGTCACTCAAAACCGAAACAATCTCTTTGTTTTTCTCGAGTTCTTTGTATCTAATAAAACCATTGATTTCTCTCACTTGACCCGATGCTCCTTATTTTCCCCTCAATTTGTAGTTTCGAAATTAGTAATAAAGATTCCATGTTGACAATTGATTTAATTGAGAAATCCAATTGTTTTACCTTAACGTAGCTAATTGCCTAATTGCTTATTTTCAATGGGCCATGCAGTTGTCATTTCAGATTCTAATCTGCGTTTATACTTTGTTTAAAAGTCATTTGTTTTTACGAAAACAACTTGAAACATCTGAAATCGTACTATTTATATATTTTGTGCCAATAATATTCGTAACATCAGATAAGAAAACTTCTTCTGTCCCTAATGGACGAGGGCATATCGTTTACTTAATAAAGAAACACATCATTATCGAGCCGTGGGAATCCACGCCTTTGATGATGAATCAGGAACATGAGTAATTAGATAAAACGATATTCTTTCATGCCAATAATTTATTCTTCTTTTATAAATCGATGTATAAGTTTTCAGTGTAAAGCCATACCATGCATTTTATACGCAAATATATTTGAAAAAGGTAATCAATAGCTCATTATATTTTTTCTCAACTCGAGGAAACCATTGGATTTTTTGTCGCATCCTCTTATGAGGATCTGGAAGATCTCTACAAAATGTGTTTTGGGGCTTTGAAGTTTCATGCAATGGTAAAACTCGAAACTTATTATAGTGGCCAACAAATTGTTACGACTTGATTCATCAGACTGATAATGATTAAACCTAATTTTTTAATGGAAAAAGTTTATAAATATTTCATTGTATTCTTTTTTATGGCACTTTCTTTACTCAGGAGTAGACAAATAACAAAATATTTGAAAAAATGAAAATAGCCGCCAGAGACCTACTCTGAGCTAACAAATAAATGAGTAAATGAATGCAAGAATTGAAAGCCAGCTGTGCTTCTTCGACAGGTACCGTCTCCTGCAGACGCAGCCTCTGGATGATGAGCGTGGCCTCGCCCTGGCGGCGCTGAGCGACCAGCTCGACTTCTGGTCTCCGCCGCGCCGCGGCGAGGGCGCCACCATCTTCGTCTCCCCCGAGGACTTGCCTTCCGTCGAGGCCATGCTCAAGAAGCTCGATGTCGGCTACGAGGTGGCCGTGGCCGACATGCAGAGGTGAGATTCCTAGCCCGATACTGGAGGGTTTCAAAAGCAAATCATTATTTGAAGTCAAGTTTCTTTTCTCGCAGGAAAAAAGTTGAAACACGTAACTAGACCTTGGATTTTAGGTCAAATGCCTATTAGTTCTTTTAAGAGGTTGCGAAAAATAATTGCGGATGTTTACAAATCATGAAAAAATAGATCTACCGAAAGTATCTAATAGAGCCTAAAATGTCATAAATGGACAGTTGAAGCTTAAGTTTTAGCATTATTTGCCTAAAATTGCTTAAAACAAGTAATTTTGAACAATTATCGTATTTTAATTACTATTTTAAAAAATTGTTATAGCGATACGCAAATACTGTTCCGAATTTCCTGCAACTCGAGTATTCCTTGATCGATTAAGCAGTCGACTACGAACCGAACACATCGAACGTAACGAGCCCTGCAAGTCAATGTAAAGAGGATGTTTTACGCTCGTCCCCAATCAGCTCGCACTTCTTAGGCAATTGGATCCATTCCCGATGTAGCTGTGCTGTTGAGGCATATCGCCACAGCGGGAGCGTCGTGTATGCAATCCTGCCGACGATAAACACACAAGTCAGGCAAAAGCCTTATGTTGGAAAAGCGAAGCTTACAATACAGGGCTCAAGTCTTCAACTTCTAGCACGGAAAAGGATCATTGCGAGTTTTCTCCTCTGTGTATGTGTGGTTCTGTTGCTTTGATGTAGGATCAGCTACATTGCATAGTGTGAAGAGGAACAATGTTGTAACCTATTGTAAATGCCTAAAAAGGCATTGTTCATGCCCAATTGTGTCTATTTTTAGTATTTTGATACCTATTTTAGGTGCCTAAATCTTAACCTGTTTGTGCCTAAAATTCCGAAGTCTTCACATAACGTAATACGTAAGAGTGTCAAAAAAACTAAAGCATTTATTTTTTGGCTAAACTACGAGACAGACGACAAAAGTTCGTTTCATTCCATGCCAAGAAGTCTAATTTTGGAAAAGTATCCCGAGCGAAAAGAGTCTTGGTTGCTCTTGAAAGAAAAGTGAGCGCGATACGGTTGGATAAAGGTGTTTGGATTTGGCAACTGATTGCGTTTTTAAGATGTAGTGAAGTAACTTTCATCGATTCAAAGCGGAACAGATGGGTAATTGAAAACTTGAATTTCGTGTTATCTACGTTTTTTTAATAACTGAGGTAGTATGTGTTTAGATTAATTCAGATAATTGCGAGCCTACTGTCTTTTCTTTTTCAGAGTCTTGAGTTTTTTAATACCTGAGGTACTCAGAGTATGGTTACTTCGAGTACTAGCGAGTCTCAGTCTTCTCTTTTCAGAGTTCTTTTTAAATATTCAATGTAGTCCGAGTCTCGATTACTTGGAATAATAGCAAGTCAAAAGTCTTCTCTTTTGCAGAGTTCTTTTGAGTTTTTTTAAATATCCGAGGTAGCCCTATTCTCGATTACTTCGTGTACTTGCAAGTCTACTGTCTTCTCTTTTCAGAGTCCTTGCTGCGTCCGAGCCTAACCCTGCCCCACGTGCGGGTGGCCGTGCTATCTCATTCACACGTTTTAACAACGTCACGGAGGTGAGTCATCACGAAAATATATTGCTTTCATATGATATTGCAGGACAGGGATTCCCAATCTTCTAGTGCAAAATTTCCTTTCAAAATTATGATTTGCTTCATTTACTTCTTGACTTTTTCTGTAACAGCTTACAAAATAATCATGATATAAATAATGGCACATAAATCACTTGATAATAATTAGACAAATAATATTACTGAAAGTTTTCAAAAAGAGGTTTTATTCGTGTACTTGCAAGTCTGCTTGCAAGTCTGCTTGCAAGTCTATTTGCAAGTCTACTTGCAAATCTATTTGCAAGTACTTGCATTCAAAAAGAACGTTTATGTTTTAATATTTTTTGTACTGTTATAATTTTCAAATTTTAGAAAGATAAGCATGTATGTTGAACCTTTCTATAATAAGACAATTGACGACTTCATTCATATTATTTGCGATCAATACGTTCTTGATTATATCGATCAGTTGCTGGTGTATAATCGTCAATTGACCCCGAATCCATCCTATGATCATCATTTACCACCTCTAGTTTCATTGACCTCCAGGGGGTCGACACCGACTCTGTTGGGAAACTACGTTAAGGTGTACTTCAGAAACGCCACCTACGCTTTCAATGCGAGCCTGGGCTGGGCACGGAGGCATTTCAAAGCAGGTGAAGTGAAAGGGGCTGTGCGCACCATCGGAACAGGCAGCCTATCAGAGCTCCCTGACCACGTCCCTAGCGCAATGGTATTTCTTATTTACGCGATGTTTTTCTTACAAGTTACGAGTAACTATTGTACAGGACCGATAGCACTACTACAGACTTGATTGGTTTCGTCTGTCGCCTCGGTGTATAGCTTCGACGGCGTCTGCTATTCAGAGGTGCTAAGAGGAAATGGCCTGGGCAATAGATCCACGGAGCCCCTTATTTAAAAAATGTTCTAATATAAGAACAGACTTCATCTTACAAGCAACATAACTTGCAGAGGTTAATTTGAATTAGAAGTACACACATTTTTTGTGTTATGAATTTGAAAGAAATTCTGACCCCTTAATTATGTCACGGTCTGAGGCAATTTTCGCCAGCTGCCTACTTATTTCTTCTAAGCACCTGCTATTGTTTGCTGTTTACCGTCATATGACATTAATAACCATTAAATTATTTTCCTAACCTAGAGCAAACACGATTTAATAAATAGGGATAAACAGGTGATTTTCATAATATTTAAAATCATTTTTTGACCAGAGTGAACAAACGAATGGAGAGGAATAATCATTAAAAGTAAGAACACTCGTTTTTGTTTCTTAGGACAATTACACATGTTTTTGTTAAAATATTCGGGAGTGGAATTGATGGGCCATTTAGTAAACAAATTAACTACAGACACATGAAGGTTTTGTGCGTGATCGGGGCGGCCCGGGTGACGCCGCGTCGAAGGCTGTGTTGCAAACGTTGTCGTGGTCTTCCTCAGGGATGGCTACTTAGTTCTTTAAATGCTCAATAATTATTGTACTTTGTTACTACACGATTTTGTAATTTATGAATTTAATTAATGAAAATTAAAGCAGGCCGGGTAATTGTCACAATTTGGAAAAATGTTGATGAAAAGTAAACAAAAATGTGTTCTTGATTTCACTCCATGATTTAAAGCATTCATTTTTAATTCTAATTGAAATATATTGATTTAAATCGTATCCACCCTAGTAAGAAGTAAAGTAAAAAAAATTCCCTTACGTACGGAATGTTATAAGAGGCTCTCCTGTGCCCAGATTCACGCCTACCTCGAGGACCTGGCAGCGCAGTACCCTGATCTCGTGACGCTGCTCAGCGCTGGCTCGAGCCAGGAGGGTCGCGATCTGAAACTGGTGAAGATCTCCAACAGCAACGGCCGTTCAGGGAAGCGAGCAATCTTCATCGATGCCGGTGAGTGCAGATTTTAGTACCCAATCCGACCTCTCCCGCCGGACATACACGGTTCAGAATTCTGCGCAGCTTATGTTTGCACGATACATTGGAGATTAAAGACGGTACGGATTAATTAAAATGGATTTGGATGAAGATTCATAAAAACGATTGCCAGATGTTCACTATTTACTATTTATATTTTTGATTCAGAATTTAATGAATGAAAATGGTGAATACGTAAATATATCTTAAGGGATGGAAATAAATAACTATTTTAAATGTGCGCGTCTGTTTTGAAATTTATTGTGGCTATTTTTCAATCGAAATCATAGCTCTCTTTTTTTAGAGGAATCGACTCCAGATTTAATATAATCAGTTCATGTTCAGGAAATTACAAATTAACCAAAAACTGATTTCTAGTATCTCACTATACCGTCCCCGCTAGTTCTCTGTTTTTGGAAAACATATGACAAACGTGGAAGAAATGTCTTCTTCCTCTGTACGTATCTCAACCTCATGAGTCACTGTACTTTGGCCAAGAACACAGAACAGGTGCACTTTACATGCACTAATCTCACTTAGTACTTGACAGGTTAGAACATACGCCAATAACCACGTGGATCTCTTAACAAAGATATGAATAGTTGCCGTTGCAAGGATAACGAGTACTTCACGGCATTCCTCAAATGCTTCTTAGATATCAGGTCTTAGAACGCATGCCATGATAAGAAGAAACAAAAGCTTCAAACCTCAATAGGCATGCTTTCATGCTCTCTAAATTTCTTTTGAGACTGCTCTTGATGCAAACACGTTTCAACTACTCATTTTATATCCAATATATTTTTTTGTATATTTGTTAAATACGGAATCAGAAATAATGTTTTTAAATCCAAAGATTTGTGAGTGTATATAAATGCAATTCTGAATATTTTGTTCTTTCACTATTTTTCCTTGATTATAATTATATGCAATGCATTAAGTTAAAGTGGACAGGAGGATTACTGTGTCATGGCTGAAAGACGGCCCAAATTAATTATTAATGCAATAGAAGTAATTAAATTCTTATAATATAATTTAGTAGTTATGAATCGTTCTTAATAACAATAAGTAGCAGTGGTAACACTGGCTCCTTGTGAGTAATAATAATAATAATAATAATAATAATAATAATAGGTATTAAAAATAGAGTTTATAGAGATATTTTATTGTGTTTAATAAGAATATTACTACATTAGTAGAACTGTCTCAGTTAAGTGGAAACTTATTTAATTTGGAATTTACGAAAGTTGGTCAACTAAAAATCGAAGTATTTCTCCTCTGCATTATACTTTTTTCTTTTTTCTACCGTGTTCCGGTGGTGCCGGAACGCTGTTCCGTTGCGTTCCGCCAGAAATGAAGTCCTGCATCAATAGATCGTAGTAAATATAAAACATCTAAATTACATTTTCAGAGACATGTTTAAGTCTGTGCCCACAGTGAATAGTGATTGTATTGTTACAGAATTTGTAAATTTCGCTTATTTCATTAATCTTCGAGAATAAATACTGAACGACACGAAACATTTTTGCGGGTTTCGATTTTCCTTCTAGTGAAAGGTAGAACTTTGCTACATCTCTTCTTTTATTGCCATGAGATCGCAAGAGTTCAGCTAACTTATTTTTACTTTCACTCTGTTTTTACATTGCCATCTCTGCACAGCTATCATATAGATTGTTGTTGGTGTTTATTATTATTATTATTATTATTATTATTATCATCATCTTACAATTATTATCATCTTTTACATTATTCACAGTATCTACTGGTCGGTATGTCAACCACACACAGGAATGATGACCAGGTGTGTGGTTGCTTTACTGAAGGTTCAGATGCTTCTGACAATACGGCATGTATTCAAAAAATTACTGACTTTTGCATATTTTATACATTCTTGGCATCCAAGTGAAGACACTCCCCAGTGCCCGAAGTGAACATTTCGGGATCACTCCTGCTAAGCTAATATTATTATAGGCACAGTTGTCACTTTACTGAAGTTCCACTGAGAGCACTTCAATGGCGAGATCGGTATACTTCTGGATCTTCTCTTGATTTTTCCCGATTATGTGTGGGGTATTGGGGTTTGATATATCATATAAGGAAAACCTGCCGATGGTTTCTATCAATGTACGTTATATCGGGTCTATTGCCGCCGACATGTCTTCAGTGATAATGGACCGATCCCAGTAGAGTGTGTACTCACTACTTTCAAGCACATTCTGAGGCACATATTATAATACGCACGAAGATTGGCAGGTAAGGCCTATTCTCAATGCCAATAATTGGTGGACCTGCTTCGCCACTTCATCATTCCTCTTTTTGTATTCCAACTGTGCGTGGCTGCACATCCACTTGTCACGTGTTGGATAGTTTCGTTTGCAGCCTCACATCTTCTATACGAGTCGGAGTGAATGGTAGAATCTCTCAGAATGTTTGTTCTGTAGTTCAATGTTGGTACCACTTGTCCTGGATAGCTATCATGAAGGCTTCTGTCTCCGGAAAGAGATCCCCGTGCTGGAGCCCATGCGTGCTGGAGCCATGCGTGCGACGTAGAAGCTCGTGAGGTAATTTCCATGCAGTGCCTTCCGCTTTCCATAATGTTATCTTCTCTTTCGTTTCAATGCATTGGTTTGAACGACGGATCAAGCTTTTTCAAGTTCAGAGGACTATAGTTATTATCAACTGCTCTCACTGCTTGGCTGAAACTCTCCTAACAATGTTCGCAAGAAGTATCTTCTGAGTGAAGCAATTTGAGAGCTGTGTAGATTTATGAGATCTACAATACCTCGCCCTCCTTGCGACCTTGGAAGGGTAAAACGCTCAGTACTTGAATGGAGATGATATTTTCCGGTGTTGAGCATAGCCGTGTCAATTGTCCTCTGGGCGTTGTCGAGGTCGAGTATTGCGCCATTTAATAACGCCAAAGGAGTATATGTCAGCATTGGAATAACAAAATGAATTGATTGGCCTGCACAAAGGTTTCTAGCCAGCTGATTGGGTTTTAAGAGTCCATGCCAATCGTTTACACCTACTTCAGTTGATTAGTATGTTCTTAGTAACAGTGTTTGATTTGATGAGTGACTGTTGCCGAAACCCAAGTTTGTTAAGTTTCCATGAGGTTCCAGTGACGTTAATCTTTGGGTTCATTATCAGTTTCCAAAATTATAACTTGCATATGACCCGAATGATATTCCGCTCTCCTTGCACTTATCCAAACCGAATATCGATCTTCATCGCTCAGTGAACTTCTTCCGTCACGTTTTATAGTTGCACGCATATGACCTCTCAGTGTCGCAAGAGTTCAGGTCATCCATGTAAGAAAGATGTGTGAGACCACGAACAGAGAGTTGAGTTCCCCTTTTTTAAAAAAAAAAAAAAAAAAAAAAAAAAAAAAAAAAAAAAAAAAAAAAAAAAAAAAAAAAAAAAAAAAAAAAAAAAAAAAAATGAGCGATTTCCATAATTAGATGAATTGAGAGAGTAGACAGGGGATTCAAGGCTAAGCAGAACATTAAAGGGGCTTAAAGATCACCCTGCGAAAATCCCTCGTCGGATTGTTTAAGAATCTGTCAGTCTGGACGGATTTTTTCCATTAGAAAGATTTAACAGTTTTTGTATTCCATCGACTCATCGCGGTTTTTCACGAAGTTTTGGATAAACGGTTGGATCTTGTGTACATCCAAACATTGAAGAGCAGAATGGCACGGTTGTTCAATGCTTTAGCGTAATCTATGTAGCATGCGTACAAGTTTCTTGATGTTTTTTCAAGCACTTTCGCCCTCATACTTACAGAGTCTATAATGAATTGCTCCTTGCATCCCCTTGAGATCAGTCATACATCCTTTCTGTTACATTTGCTAAGATTGTTCTGTTTCTCAATGTTCTGTTCATCATTTAATTTGTGGAAACACAAGGTGTTATGAGTTTGTGAAAGTTGTGGAAGGCCAGGTATTAGGCCTGTACTTCGAGCCGTCTTTTAGTGCACCCCTCCTTTTGGTAAAACAAGAATTGTTCTACCTTCCCAGTGAGGAAAGTACGGTAAGATTTTCTGATTGTGAAGAAAAATATTGAATTATATTACGTTATATGATTGGTGAGTTGCTGGTAATTTTTTCAGCCAAATAATTGTGCAGGCCACACTTGCCTAGGTGCCTTCAGTTATGTGCTTTGTTCAAAAGCTGCTTGGACAATTTCCACGGTGATGATTAGTTCACCCATTAGAGGGATATCTCGGTGTCTGTCATATTCAATTTCAATCCACGTCATATCTGGGTTGTGGGACACAGCAGATATCCAGATAGGCTTCCCAAAGTCCTCTATTTGTGCCTTTGAGGGAAGCTTTGACTCTTTCATATCATTTACAAACCCTTTGCCTTTTGACATATTCCTGTAGAATGCTTTCTGGTTTCTGTTAAAAAGAGAATTTTGTTGCTTCCTAGTAGTGTTCCTGTAGCGTCGAAGGCGTTTTGTTAACGCCAAAAGCTGTTGTCGTAGGGTGCCAAGATGTTCTGTTATTGTTGAATTCAAGGGCTCGTGCTTCGTATGAATTTTTGTATTGATGAGGATGTTATTCACCTTTCTTCTCAGTTTTTCTGTGGTATTTCCTTTTTTAAATTGTGTGAGTCTCTCAATATCTCTCCTAGTGCTCTCTATACGATTCACCAGCCGTCTTTCCCAAGGTGGCATTCTTTTTTCACTTCGATCATTGTGGGAAGTTGCTACGCGGCTGAAAAGCTTGGAACCGTTACATCTTCAAGCCACAACCGCAGCACAATAAATTGCTGTGTGTACTTCTTCGAAAGATGGTCTTTGTTGGAGATGTTGTGGCAGTACTTTCTCATTCAAGACGCTGATTGCTCTTGCTAATTTCTTCGAGCAATTTTGTCTGGGAATGAGATAGCGGTTCAGTGGGTCAGTTCCTTCAAATTCCGCAAGTGCGACTGCGAATTCATTGCGAATTTGCACCTCTTCACTACTCTTATCATCCATACTTTCTGACATGCGTGTCCCATTGTCATCCTGAGTTTGCACAGCTGATATCTGCACTGTCTTCGGATTACTAGGTTCTAAAGAGTTAAGCATTTCTCTCACGTCTTCCTTGTTTCCAAAACTGGTGCAGAGAGGAGATTTTTCTGAACAATTGCTCGACGCTGGTCCGCTATTCTTTGCTCACTAACTTCAGAATCAGGGAATTATTATTATTATTATTATTATTATTATTATTATTATTAATTCCAAGTCGGTCTAGACCGGCTACTTATCCACTCCGTTACTTCCTATAAGGCCGACAAAGTATTACAATTTACAACGTGGTTTATAAAAATATAAATATGTACATTTGTAGACTATCACAAATTGCGCTGAAGCTCTGACACTAGTTCTAGGAATTGCTGAAGAAAAATCCTCTTTTTCGAATACAAACGCAGAAAATCGCAAACGTGTGAATTATCAGAATTGGGATGTAAACTGTCGTGTATCACACGCAACCCTGCAATCGTGTTGAAATTTAGTCCTTAATTTAGAACTTTAACCAGCCAGCCGGCTATCACAATTGCAGTGCACTCGGTGTTCGCTAATGAGGCTAGTCTCCTCCTGAATCTTCAACTGGGTTTCAAGTTTTGACGGGCATACAATCTCCTGGATTCATACAGCTGTGATGAAATCTAAAAATTGCATACGACACTTTCCACACCAATCTATGCTTGTAAAGTCAAAATGTTAACATACTTATTTATGTGAGATAATAAATAAGATTTTAATTATAAGAAAATATCTATTATAACTTATTACAAATATTCTGAGTAAAACGCCAATGTGTGTTTTCTACTTCAAACGACTCACTCTGTATTAGTTTTCACTTGATTGAAGCACGCAAAGCATCTAGAAAATTGTATAAGGTATTTGAAATAGCGTATTCCTTGGCAGGCATCCACGCTCGTGAGTGGATTGCACCGCCCGTCGCCCTCTACACCATCAGCCAGCTGGTGGAGAACTACGAAGCCAACCGCGAGCTGGTCGACGCCCTCGACTGGTACGTGCTGCCTGTACTCAACCCCGACGGCTACGAGTACACCTTCACCAACGTAAGTGAGAGCCATCGAGAGGGCGAAAACTTAATATTTAGTTGAGGGTCTTTATTTATTGACGTCAAAAACAGTTAAAAACTGTGTGTGACGTGCTATGGGGAGAAGTTAATTTGAAGTTAGGTTTATGTCCAGAAGCAAAACAAGGTGCCTCTCAACGTTTGCTCAAGGATTAGGGAAACTGGACGAAAACCTGATCCAGATGGGGGTCATTGACCCAGAAGCTGAAGTACAATACGTGTTACAGGTTCTTTAGAATTATGCAATCCAAATGATATAAAATACACTAACTGTCGTTGTTAAAATTAATATTACTTTTCTTTTCTGGTGTTTGGTATAGTTTCTAATTGTATAAAAACAGTTGTGCAGCAGAAAAAAATGTACTTGAGACTAAAACTTTTGTATCAAATTTAATCGTTTAATGTCATCTTGCAAGGTGTTGTAAAATAATGTATTGTAAAAACGTGTATTGTATGTGATTTTTTTGAAGTGACCTGTTGATTCTGTCATCTGATGAATATGATTACTACGTCGAGTGCTGTCGTTATAGACAACGGCGTTTGCTGAAAATGTATTCCCGCAATTAAGTAAGTCATTTTGACAAAAACCACTGATTCATATATGAAGAGACAAGGTAATTGTAGAATACATAGATTAATAAAGAGAGGCTTACAAGAATCATGTGGATAGATTTGCATATTATTCATACAATTCGTTTATGAAATCTAAAAGTCTAGGAGCTATAAGATGAATTTCTCCTGTAGATTATGCCATATCTCAGACGGGAATGGACATTCGCAAAATATACTCAACGAGCAACTTTATAAGCATTGATTCCGGGCGGCTTTAATAAAGAGTCCCGTAAATGTTACGCATGTTGTATTGCTGAAGGTAGCAGAATTCTTGCCACAGTGGAACATACTACCCAGAGCCGACTTACGGTACAAACACTCAGAGTGCGACAGATTCAGGTGCGCATACAGAGCGCAAAGCTGCGCGTCGCGAACTGGTGCGAATAGTTGAAAATTGGCGCTGTCAGAAGCACGAGAGTTATGTCTGTGTTAAAATATGTATTTAAAACGGAAAGTATTGTAAGACAAAAGAGTGGATGAGTTTAGTGTGTTGCAGGAGCAGGGGAATATCACCATATATTTCCCATACTTCGCAAAATTGAAAAAGAATCAGATTTGTGGGAATAGAAACAGGTTAGAAAATGTATGAATTTCAAGGATATAAAAATGTCTATTTTACACGAAGAATCCATTTTCTTTGCGGTTTCTTCTACGCTGTGGCAATAACACCTCAGTACAGATAGTGTTTGTGCATTCTACCAAATTGGCGGCCTAGAAAACACTTCCTTAATTAACAGTTCCCCATCCATGATCAGACGCTGGCGAGATCAGATCGCTGGGTGTGCGAGCAGTTCGTGGGAAAAAATCAAACTTCTCTGTACCAAATCGCGTTGCGCCTTGTCGCATATTGTTTGTTTCTACTCTTACATGGCGATGGTTTAACGGTTAGCGTATAGGACTGTTATACCCAAGTTCGCGGGTTCAAACGCTATCAAAGTGGATTTTAGGGCGAAAAAATCCTTTGAACGCCTTCCTACACAGAGGAAGTAAAGCCGGCTGTTCCATGTTAGTAGATTCACTGCATGTAAAAGATCCTCAAGCCTAAATGAAGCCTCTGAGCTAAATATAGGTGTTTTGGTGTGATATCTTTGGCATTTTTCATAAAATAATTAACGTTGTCATTGCCAACAATATTATTTTAATTGCAATAGCCAGCTTTCGATGGCTTATGCCATCATCAATCAATTGTCTGCTGGTGATGATGGCTAAGCCATCGAAAGCTGCTATTGCATTAAATAATATTGTTGGCAATGACAACGTCCTTAATTATTCTCTAAGCTAAATTCAAATAGCTTGTATAATCGCCCAAGAAATGCCTCCTTTCTCCGCTAATGGGTGAGCAGACCTTAGCGAAATTTGCGTGGTCAGGTGGAAGAGCTGGCCTGATGGCCTTAGTATCGCCACGTAAACTAAGGCAACCATTCAATTCAATTCAATCAAAGATATCTGGAGGAGAGATCTCCGATATCTCAAGTATAAGTCTGCGCTTGAATCTTCCACCCAGTGGGGGAAGAAGATTCATCTGCGGCCATCACTCGTCTATAAAATGTATTCACTATTGATCTCAGCAATTGACTCCACAGCCGTCTCCCGTCTATAAAATATACTGACTCAGCAATTGACTCGACCGTAAACAAAATAATCAGTCATTCAATGCTTATTGATTTTTGCCTCGAACTGCAGGAACGCTTCTGGCGCAAAACACGCTCCAATAACGGCAACCCCGCCTGCTTGGGAGTCGACGCTAACCGCAACTTTGAAGACAACTGGATGTGTGAGTACTCACAGTGCCATTCGCGCGTCCACTAAAGAATTGTCATAACACAGAACAAAGCAGTTTTCAGAACAAGGCGTTTGAAGATTTCTTGTACTTACTGGTGCGAAATTAACACTCCACCTAGCGACGCATTACAGTTTTCGTGTTTTTTTAGGATTATAAAGCATTACAATTAAACTGATTGTGTACTTATCTAAACATCTTCCTTTTTTGGGTTACGCCAATTTGTAGAGGAGGTGCGAGAGATTTGATGAAAGGTTGATTCAATGGTTCTGGGAAAATGGTAAAAGCTTGATATTTCTTAACGAAATAAATGCAAATATAAGTCACATTAAGGTGCGTAAATGTTGGTGTTTGAGATGAGAGTTTGGAAGTCATTTAGTTCTTTATCTAATCCTGCAGTAATAACTCTTTCAGAGCATATTAATTACATTTTAATTTCTCGCCTTGCTACGTACGTAGTAAAGAGAAATTTTAGTAATGATGTGGCGGAAAAATGTGTGCCTTCAGGCCGTAGTAACGAAAAATGTGGATAACTCTCATTCCTATGAAACACTTTCTCTTAGATGTTGTGTAGTCATAATCCACTTTTTTTGGAACCTCAATACCGAATAATTGGTTCGCGTTAAAACGTCAGTCCCTTGTCTGTCCTATTAGTTTACGGTAACGCGTCCGTCTGTGATCTAAGCAGTCAATTTGCTCAAAATTGATGTCTCCATCGATCTGGACAAACTCAGTATTCTGCTAGTTAGACAGAGAAATTTTGATTTTTGAAGGTAGAATGAAGTCTCAGCAACGTTGTAAGTCAAAAATGGAAATTGTCTAATTTTTGTTAATGTATCTGAATTTTCCGAAAATTGCAAAAGTTCCGCACTTATGCGTGATAGATAGGCAAATTTAAACAATTATTTTCTTAACAATGGCTCCAATTTTTTACGTTACACTTTTTCATAAATAGAGCACTAGAGGCTTAATAAATTGGCGGTTGTCCTGTTTCCAGTGAACTGAATATTTTCGAAAATTGCAAAAATTAACACCTCCAAAGTACAGTATAGATACATTTTTCTACACGAAAATCTTTTCTAAAAAGGTCCTGCACAATAATTTAAAAAACAAGTAGTTTTCGTTTAATTTACCATTGAAAATTAATGCAATTTATATTTTATCTCAAACACGGCTTCAAATGTATTATCTAATTCTTTTACATCGATAGAGCAAACTGGCACAGATCTCATTTTTGTTGAAATATGAATTTTCGAAAATTGCGAAAGTTAGAAATATGGCGAGAAACTTTGTGCTGTTATAGCACCACTATTTTTTCTTCTATTTCTCAAGCCCGAACTATCAAGCTTCTGCTTAGTATAACTCCTCTTATGTATTAATTAGCACCCATATATTTTGAATATTATGTCATTGTGATCACTTGTAACCGTTCAAGAAGTATTCTTACTCTGTACAATGACTCATATTTCAGTGGTTGGATCAAGCTCTAACTTGTGCTCTGAAACCTACGCTGGGCCGTCCCCTGCCTCCGAACCAGAGACCCAGGCACTCCAATCTTTCCTGAGGAACATCGGCTCCCAGCTCGACCTCTACCTCACGTTTCACAGCTACGGTCAGGTGAGTGTCTCAAGCGACATACTTAACACAGGCAATGTCAAAAAGTAACGAACACATAAACAAAATTGGGTCACATATACAAAACCGTCACAAGTGTGTGTGAAAATTTCTTTCGTTCATCATCATTGGGAATACTTTCTAATCGTGGATCTCAGCCACCTTAACTTCTAAAATATTCTAGGCGCTCCGCAACCCAACACCGACCGCCGCTTCTACAAACGACGAATCAAGAAATTTATCGGATGACGAATCAAATATGTTTTTGCTTTCTTGGAGTTGTTTGTATTAGTAAGAACTGATCTAGGGGGTTGATATCTTTCTTGCCTCTCCTGAGAATTTTGGTTTAGTGCTTGGATGGCGTTATCTAAAGTAGACACACACATGATGCCGACAACCGACGAAGACAACTAATTTTTTTCTATTGGCGGTCTACAAAATATTTTATGGTTTACTAGTTAATTGGTGTGTGTTTATGGACCTGAAACTAAACACGTAACGGTATTGTAAATACCCTTGCGGACCTTTCTGATTCGTTATACCCGCGCGGGTCTTCCGAGTACTTCATGGCCCGCTCTATACGTAATGCCAACACAACAAATACATTTTTATGAATTCGACTTATTAAAGTTAAGATACAAGCAAATACAATAAATAAATGGCATAATGCTGAAATGGGTAAAATTACTCGTTGTGTACCTTATTTTGCTTAATTGATACGAAACTTTAGAATGTTCCCGTGAATTTATAATTGTCATCTGTCACTCATATTTATCACCTTCTTTTAAAAGCATATGCTTCTTGAGCAGCACTACTTACAGTAGTAATAAGATGTATAAAGCTCATCGGCTAACATCCTCGATATGTTACTTTTGACGTTATGAAATATTGTAAATAACTTCGGACAATAAAGGCAAATACCTTAAAAAATACTATTTCATGAGCGCTATTCACACTGTTATATACCTCTCAAATACACCATAAACATTTAAATATATTTATCGAGGTTATACTGGAAACCACTTGTAGAAAGCTAGCCGTACCTTTTGTAGCGTTTGCGAGAATGCATGAACTTCACAATATTCTTTTAGACAGATAGATTTATTATTTCTGCAGGTAGGTATAGAACCTGGTGGCAGAACACTACAATTTACATATTACAACTAAGAATACTAATACACTGAAATTTTAAAGCATTTTAAGGCAATAATAACAATAATATAACAATAATAACATTGTTATTATTTATTTTGTAGGAAAAAATCAGTCCAACATCGATTATGCAATACTAATTAGATACACACGGTTTTGCTTATCTGACGTCATATTGACAAATGACGATTTCAATGCGTCTTTTCACTTAAGACGTAAGAAAAATTATAAAACTTTCGAATTCTCGTTTGATTTAGCAACGAACTAGTAAACGATTAAGTTTTGTTTCGTACCACGGACGTTACTAGATTTTTTTGTTTCTAGATAGACTCAGACGACTTCCAACCCCTCGGGCCAGAGGCCCTCCGGATGGGAAGTCGCCCTCGGGGCAAAACCATCTACTTAACGTCCTAGATACATAAAGAACTATTTTAGACAGCCTCTAGTAAAAGGGGTTCTTTCAGAGAATATATAGCGTGTTTAAAGTTCAATTTTTAGCATCCGTGCGAAAAGTGAGACGATGCTCATGTGTTCACATAAATTTGTGACTGAAAGAAAAAGAACAAAATATTTTCGTCTGGCCGCATCAGCTACTACTAACCTTGATGTATCGCTAAGTGATGATTTGTAGACTTAAATAAGAACAATAAAATAAAAGTCAGTAAGGCTGCCTAAAAATAGTTTGTAACACACGTGGTAAAAGGGATTTTTTTCCCTCGTATGATTGCGCCACTCAGCCTATCGACCGCGTGTCGCAACCAATTGTACTCGCAAAATAGGTTGTCACTTTTACCACTCGTATCATAAATAACTAATATTTTCTTAAAACTAGGGAAACAGATAATAACAATCCATGCCCACATTTAAACACGTATGTTTCATGTGTTTCAATCTACTACATTACATGTGCGTTGTTTGTGTTGCAGTACATCCTGCACCCTTGGGGCTACACTGTCACTCCAGCCGAAGACGCTGAACAATTGGTACGTTTTCCTCATTCTTCACTTCCTTTCTATTTACCATTTAAATATTCACATTGTTTTACACTTAGAAATGCAATTTTAGTATTTCCCGATGTGGCTTGCTTTGCACATTTATTCTCAGTCAACCAGAGCTGGATCAAAGAGGACACAGCTTAAACTAATTATGCTTATATTTTTTTAAAGAAAAAATCCTAATTCAGTGTTATAAAAATCTATATTGCATTACGTAACTTAATACACAATTAACAAACTTCGTTTTGTCAAACTTGACGACCGAGAATCAATTTTCAGGTGAAATAGTAAATTTTCTAATACGAAATTAAGCAATTGTTTTACACTCTTGAAATTAAGTAATTGAATTTTACTATTGAAGCGTTATGCAATTAATTTACGATTTGAATAAACACAACTATATAAAATGACAAAAAGAATTGCTTAATTATTACGACACTAAGGAATGACATTCACATTCATATTTTAATTGTAAAAAAACAATGAATAGTTGGTTTAACTAGTGCTAAAACAGCACGTACTTTCTCGCCCGTTTTATGCAAAACTACGCGAAAAGTACTCAAATTTTCGAAAAATTGTACATGACCGTATTTCAGAATCTATCTCAAAGGAACATATTCCTTAAGGGAAAAATATCTATCGTCGTAATTGTTGTTGTAGGAAGACACCGAAAACATGTTGAAATTTTGCAATTTTCGAAAAATTAAGATTTTAAAAGAACATTGTCTCTTAAATGTTCTTAACACTATTCAACAACAATATTTAATCAAAAACGATGGACCCAATTTTTTGAAAATGACCCAGGGGCTTCATGTAACGTGTCCCCAAATTAAAATATCAGTTTTGAATTCAAGGATCCGCGACATCAGTCAGATCGATGGGAGAATATCAATTTTGGAGATAATCGGCTGATCTAGCGTTGTTCACAGACTGACGGACAGACAAACGTTTTGCCGTCATTCAATTTTTCGGTATCAAGGGCCTTCAAAACATGTATTCTGGCTACACCACGTGTTAGAGAATTTTTCTAAATTATCAGCTGAATTTATCTACTCTTCCGTTACCCGGGCCCTGTAATAAGTTTTTCTACCGAAAATTCGCCATTTTTTCGCTCAGCGTTATATAACATTTTTCCCCCTATTGCATAAGCGACAGCGAGGAACGAAAAAACTAACGGAAACACACAGATGCGTGTTGCAATCTTCACCAAATAAAATAAAACGTAACTGTTTCAAACCAATATTTTCATTGCCTTGGAACGACAATTTCATGTTTGAGTTTTCCTTTTTTTGCTCCATCATATTTTTTTAATGATTTACTACTTATTCCAGTCGTAAAACACAAAATTTTGTTTACCAAACATAGCAAGACAAAAAAGAAACTGTTCAGTAACGGCACTAATGAAGCTCTTGTCTTCACAGACTGCCCTAGCCCGGATCGCTGCCGATGCCATCGAGTCCGTGCGAGGCACGAGGTACACAGTTGGCGGCTCCGCCGAAGTTATATGTAAGTAGTACTTCACGAGGACTAAGGTCATTTGTCCCGTAGAAGTAGTGCGTGCTTGGGGGATAAAAATTGGATTCAACGTAGAATGCTGATGCCCCTCCCCAAAAAAAGACACTGGGTAAATGTAGTCTGAGCCTCGGTAAGTGCAGATGTAAGTGGTCCTAGATGGCAAATTCACGACAAAAAAGTGAATAAAATGAAAAAATAAAATAAAATTAAAAAATTAAATTAAATTAAAAAATTAAAAACAATAAAGAAAATGAAAAAATCAAATGAGTAAAAAAAATTTAAGAAAAAAAGTTAAAGCGATATCGTAGGCTTCCGCGGCCAGAGCCATGATCTGGGCTGTCAGGGTGGCGCCGCGTCGAACGGTCAAGGCAGTACAGCCCTGCAGAGGGCCACGATAGGTCAGTGGAAACGTCGGCCCTTGAGCCTTCGACGCGCAGTCACCCGGCCAGTGCAGATCCAAAAACGAAAGCGTCCTCAATGCCACCCCCGCCTGCGACGCGCGTTGCAGACCTGACGTCGGGCTCGAGCGAGGACTGGGCCAAGAGCGGCGCGGGCGTCAAGTACTCCTACACCGTGGAGCTGCCGCGCGGCGGCTCGGGCTTTGACCCGCCGGCGTCCGCCATCTTGCCCGTCGTCACCGAGACCTTCGAGGGCGTGCGCGCCTTCGCGCGCTTCTTCGCCCAGCGCCAGAGCCAGCCCTGAGCGCGCCCACCAGACCTCGCGCATCGCCCCCGCACGCCCGCGCCACACCGAGCTCAAAAGACAACTCACATTCCCGGGCAACATTGAGAAACAGGTTCCCGATACGCTCTTTCCCGAATGGGAGAATACGTTAGGCGCTTTCGGTAGTTAGATTTTGTTTTCAGTTAGTGCATAAGGTTCTTCTAAGCCGCCAAAAATTACATATGTAAAAGTACTGCGGTACTTGTCCTGTTATTCCAGGAAATAAATGTGAAAAAAATGAAAAATATCCCTGCAGGTCCGAATTCGCACCCTAAGGAGGGGCCCTATGACTCAATTATGGGTCTCTCTTTATGATGTGATGGAAAAACTGCACATGAAATGGTCAGATTATCAATTTTTGTTTTTTTCTAAATTATTTAAAATACCTATTTACACACACACACATACTCATACATATTGTTCTCCTCATATTATATCTGTATATGTATTGCGTACAGGCACTGAAGAAAGTAAACATAAGTAAAACTAAGTTTACATTGATCGGTCTTCTCATACACGTCAACACAGGCCTACATATCACTTGATGAAAACTCAAACCAAAGATTGAAATGTGTGACAAAAATATCTATAAATTGGAGCTATTTCTATAAATAAAATGAAATTGGAGAGTCTGTTTGATTTCAAAATAACTTATGTCCTTTAGAAGTCACCAACAGATCTTTTTCATGTCATAAAAACCTATTATATTATTTCACAAATTTTGTCTCTCTGTTCGGGTTATTATCTGGAAGTCTAAACCGACTGCGAGAGTCTTTTCACTGAAAGTATTTCGTCAGACATCATTTAGGTTATGATTTAGTCTTCTTTTAGTATACATTTTTTTGCTTTAAAATATAAATCTATAGTTTTATTCTGAAATTAATGAAATTTTGTACATACGACCTTGAAAACAATAAAAAAGTTACCATCCACATGAGATTTTTTAAAACAATCCTCATCTTTCTTTCTTACACCTTAAATCTATGCGTATGGTCCCAGATGGTCCACTCGGAAGCACTGCTTACTATCCACCTGAGATTTTCTAAATCAATCCTCATCTTCCTTTCTTACTTCTTAAATCAATACTTTGCTAGCGCAAACGCCACCCGGAAGCACTGCCGAGTGGCTCTTGTGTAACGTAACCCTTTGGTGGGAAACACTGTCGCCGCCAGCGTCAGTGACGCGAATGCGACATGCGTTGCAGGTGCACACATCAATGTTGCTCTGGTACACAACAAGAACAGAAAAGTAACTTTCAATTTGATCATGCAATTTGTTCATAGTGACTGTGCTATTACTACGGCACAAGAAATGGTTTCATAGAGGGTCACCATAAGTGGCCCACTACTTGCTATATGCAAAAGGAGCTATGTACTTTGCGAATATAACACTTTTCCCTTATAAATAACTCTTTTGAATGCCACAGTACCTAACTTAAAGCTGCTCTGAAAGGGACTAGAGGAAAAGGACTTACTACAAAATGTTATATTTATTTCTGATTGATTGGATAGGAAATGGATCAAATCACAAGAAGCTATCGTAATTAAAGGTCTCTGCACTGGTCAATTTGAGATAATTTGCAGTTATATACGGTGACTATCTTTTGCCTGACGAAATCCGACTGTGATCGACTTCCATTGTCTCCTCTCATGTCACGAAACGTGAAGCGCACCTGGCAAGAGGTGCAGTACTATTCATTGTATTAGATCTGCTGGACAGCTAGCTCTCCACGAATGAGTGGCTCTTAAATATTTAGTGCCTTTGGTTCGATTAACTCCTAATAATAGTAGTAGCTGTACTCTGAAAACAGTACTATGCCCTGACAGTGAGTGTACACAATATATCAAATATTTTCACCGCTAATTTATATTACGCGAAAACTGCAATTAAAAAAAATATACATGATCTTCATGAAAGAACTTACTAATGACAACGAATTTAATTTTATGGGAACAACTATCTTTAATTATGTTGTAAGATAAGGTCAAAAAAATTTGAAATTTTGAAATTTTCAAAAATTTAGTTGAAAATGAAAATTGGACCTATGCCACGTTCATAAGTGTGTTTTGCTCTATTCCTACTAGAAATGTAAAGAAAAAAGTTGGAGCTGTTTTTGAGAAAAGTTTGAAATGTCCGTGGGGCTTCATGTAAAATATCCTTAAATTTTAAAGAATTTTTTCCAAAATCTCAAAGCTTCTACTCGGGACAGATGGACAGGCATTTCTTCAATTTGGAAAAAATGTTACGTATGGTTTAGGCGCTAGTAGTGTTCACAGACGAACGGACAGACAGACGTACGGACGGACAGACGAACGTTTTAAAACAAATTAATACTTTTTCGGTAACAGGGGATACCAAAACGCGTATTTCTGTTGAAATCTCGAAATTGATTTTCCGCAGCATTACATAACTTTACCTTTACTGCGTATATTACTCCATATATAAGTACATATACGGGAAAGTAAAAGAGGACAAAGTTGAAACATAAATACAACACACACAAGTCACAGAATGGTACGCACCGTGAATAAAATTCTTGAAAACTCTCAGTTGGAAAATATGATATTGAAGGGATCATTATGGCTTTGCAATAAACTAATAATTTTTTTTTTCATGCACAGTACGCGACGGTAGTCAGAAGCGTAGCTACTATTTTGAAGTTAGAAGTGGAACGCCGGCCAAATGAAGTTGCTAGCAAAATTTTATTCTTTTAATTCCAATCACTCCATTTCTTTAATTTCATTATCACTCTGTTTTCCTTTATCTTCTTGTTTCTTAAATTAATAAAAAGCCAGCTCGCTTTTTCATTTAATGTTCATGCCGATCCCGATTTTATTTCCTTGCACAAGTGGTCCTTCAAAAGCCTAGTTCTTTAGTAGCCATCTTGGCTACATACCCGAGCTACTGGAGGCCGAGTCAGCAATTGTGTTTACGCTGACTGTCTCGTCTTCGTGCGTGTCACTCTGCCAAAGGTGGATACGACCAGGCAAGTAATGCATCTGCACGCCCTTCCACGTCACTCGCGCACACGCATCATAGACAAAACCTATCGATTACTTTATAAACTAATTTAAGTTGGAATTTATTTAAAAGTTCTTCTTTAGGAATGCTATTTATTTAGAACTGGATTAATGTAAGTACACGAGTCATGCGATTGCAATCGCATCTTCAGCTGTTGATAGCCTGTCATAATAATATATAATTCGTGTACCGACTCAGGGCTTCAGTCCGAAGAGACGTGTGTTCGAATCCCACCTTGGGCATGATTGTTTGTCCCTTGTCTCCCAGGTATGTGTTGAGGCGCAGACGTTTTGCTGCCCCCGGATCAGAGGAGCCCGCAAGCGTGTTGGTGTCTAGGATATGGTCGAATACGCGTACCATCGGGACGTAAAGGGTAACTGGCTGACGGCTAGAGAAAATCCCCCTAAAAATGTCGATAGTTGCAGCTGAAAAAGGGTGAGGGAAACCGTAAATCTAGCCCAGATGCTAGAGATTAGAAAACTATTTCGCACGAGAAAGTCTGTACCATTCTGTAGCACCATCATTTTATTTTATATATTTTTTAATACTGCCTATACTCCACTAAGAATTGCGCGTAAGTAATAGTTTCAAACAGTGTAAATGACATGAATTAATAATAGAGAAAAATTCATTTGAGGAAAAATATATATCTTTATTATTAAAGTTAGATAAGTGTGTGAAACATTTTAAACTTTTACATTTTTCGACAATTTAGTGCTAATAGTGGGAATTGGATCTAAATCATCATTAAAAATGTATTTTCTTTATTATCACAAGCAATTTAAAGAAACATTTTTGAAAAAAATTGAAAGTATCCCAAGAAATTCATCATAATTTGAAGAATTCTTTCCAAATTTGCAGAGTTTCAAGTCTGACCAGGTTGATCGGGGAATTTTGGAAAGTTTCTTTTGCAAAAGTTTAGGTACGAGTGTTTTTCACAGGTAGACGGTTAGATAGGCGAATGTACGGGCAGATGGATGAACGTTTGAATAAAACGCTTTTGGGGTATTAAGGAACCACAAAACGAGGATACTGAATACGCTCCCAGAAAGTAATTTACTTCAACTAGGAACCAACAAATAGTCTTTTATGGTATCAGGAAACCACAAAACGAGTTATTCTGTAAAAAAATGGCACTTTTTGCTGTAGCATATTAATAAAATATTATTTGCATTTACTACGTACGTATACGAGGAAGTAATAGAAAATACTTTTTAAATGATTGATGTTATCCTTTTGTCAGAATTGCATCACATTCTGTCTTCTATGCAAACGAAAGATTTGTTATCAATCGAAATGTATCAAATTTAAAAATAAGGAGAAAAAACTTGAAATATACCTAATTTATTTTAAAAAATTCACCCACTTCTTGAGATATTCGTTGAATTCTTTTTCACATTTAATTTATTGAAATTCGCACTTTTTTTAGTTCATCTCACTTTTCCGTGATTGATAGATACTTTTTTGTTTCCGGGTGCGTCAATTGCTACGATCATTAGTTCTGTAAGTGTAGTGCATGCTTTTTAATATTGAGTGGTCGAGGTGTAGTTTCCTCGCTCGATGGTGCGATCTGGAGCCGTACTGCACGTCGGCTAGGAGAATTTTCCCAAGCAATGTATCTGCCAACACAGTCGCTCATGCAGGACAAGTCCTAAGCGCCCGACTAGTCTCGCGACATGGACAAGGATCGCGCATAGTCCGTGTCCCGTTTGCTAGGATACTACTCCGGCATTCTCCTCGTGGTGATAGGAGAAACCACAGAATTCTCCTCCAGACAGCGGTTGAATTTAATCTAGCTAGTGTCGAAAATCCTGCCACCGTCGGAACTCGAACCCAAGGTCGTCCGGGTCAGAGGAACTACAATGACATCGGTTAATGCCCTGAGCCACCTCAGCCGGTCAATTTTTGGCTGTGCCTTATCCGGTTGTATTAGATCAGTGGGAGGCGGCGGTAGAGGTGATGACGGGGCGGCGGTGGCAGTGGAGGCGGAGAGGACAACAGTGGCAGCGGCGGCGGCGGGTGTAGCGGTTTGCTGTGTGCAGTGTCGGGCGAGCCGACTGGAAGAACACAGCAGAATATGGCGCTGTGGTGGATATGGTCGGTGTTGGCGATAGTGGCAGCGGCTGTAGCAGCGGCGGGTGCAGACGCTTTGGAAAGCGAATACATTTGCGACAGGTGAGGAAATATGAAACCTCTTCCCATCAGAGATTGCAGATTCACACCAACTCGCGAATTCGAAACTTCGGCAAGAACAAACCTAATGCAATTGTGTAAGTGCTGAGTTGACCTTGTAACGAGCAAGTAAAAATAAATATATTAAATAACGGACGTTTAAATGTCGCGTATATACATAGTATAACGTATGTTTATATTCACATTATTGAAAATATGATAGAAGAGTTTGTTTTGGTGTGCCACAAGAGAAGGCATTCAAACCATTCATGATGTCAGCTCACTTCTATTTATCTTTGTCGACTGCGATTTTCACATTTTAAGTATTTTCTTACTGTGAAAGTAAGTCAAAAATTCCGAGGAACCATGTTAATTCAGATGAAATATTACATGTTATTTTCTTCTGAATTTTGGTTAATTTTCTTGCATATCAACCAATGTCAATGAATTGTAACTTTCTCGATTCAAATTCTCGACCAAGGGTTTGAATAGCTTGATGATGCAAGTACAATAATTCAGTCGCATTTTATGTATGATTTACCAAAAAAAGGTGAAACAAGTTACTGTGAAACAATTTCTGTTTTATGTTTTCAATGTCCCGTTCGTCTATAATATATGAAACGCATTTATAAATAAACAGAACAACACATTGCCTGAAATACTTGAACTTAATATTAGCTTTGTAAAACTGTTCTAAACGGTTTTATTAAAGGACATTCTGATTATTTTGAACCAAGCAAGCTTCTTACTATATTGCTGTAGAAATGATCTCGTGTTTAAATGAACTTATTACCACATTTGCTGGATCATACACACGACGATATGAAATCAGTGATGAAATCAGAAGCAAGGAATCTTGATTTACAAGATTTCAATTAACTAAAATAACAGTTGAGTGAAAAATATATAAATTAAAACGAAAGTATTATATATTTATAAATGAAAATAAAGATGAAAAGTAATTAAGCAAAATAAATTGCAATAGAAATTATTTACACTTTGTAATTCGCTCTACAAGGTGACTTCCAAAATATAATTTCAACATTTTTCTTATGCAAATAAACTTTTGTTTTAACATTTCTTTCTGAAAAGAAATATAGTTTTACTTTCTTCTTTGTCAGAGGTAGTTCAGAAATCATGATTTGTGTTTTGTACTAACTTCAATTGTGACAACGTTAAGACCCTCTCAAAGCATTTATTTACTTTCATGGTATTTATTAAAATAATAGGACACGCAAAGGCTGCTAATCAACAAAAGGTATATACCGTTTAAGACCTTCGCCGATGACGTATTGACATTGAGGTGACACTAATGATTCTAATGAGGTGCCTAAAGGACTGACTAGAACACAAAATAATTCTGAAAAAAGAAATAAATTCACATAGAAAGAATAATCGTTGCCAAGAGCTCTGTAAAAAAAACAAAAACTAACAAACAGGATGAGTAAAATATGAGTGAAAAACTGAGTAACTTACTCCACTGTTCGAAATCATCTTCCATTTTAAGTACATGAACCAGCCCTAATTCCGAATTTGGGATTGAAGAAAGACAAAAATGTTAAAAACTAATCGATTTCTAGGGTGTAAAATGTGAACAATGTGTAAGGGGGTAAAATATGAACTTTGACGTGTGTTTTCCTCTACCTAGAAATTCTTGAAATAGACATTTTTTCTTTCAGATTCTTTTCAGTTCTTCGTTGTTTCGACTGCTCTTTACAGTGGTGTAAATATTGGTGTGTGAAAGACCAAAAGAACAAAGCTCTTCCAATTTTGGCCCGAACTTTTCGAAATAACTTTTTATCATAAAACTATCAGTTCAACAACAATTACTACAATATTATTATTATTATTATTATTATTATTATTATTATTATTATTATTATATAGCATATAATGAAGGTAATGTTATAAAATGTGCAATAAAGATGATAAGATGATGTGAATATATATTAAAGGTGTTATAAAAACACTGGAGTACAATGTGCCAGAAATTCATCACCAAAGTCGTAAACATTGAAATTATTTAAGAAACATTTTTCTCGCATAGTTGTCACATTGTGCCGCTCTGAAACAATTATGGTGAAAATAGCGTAAAGCAACAGTGACAAGGGTGTGCAACAAGCGAGTGCAAGCAAATAATATTTTATTCCTTAGCAATCGTAATTACTAGTATTTGCTGGAGAAATAAAAATGTATACCTATTAACAATTAATAAGATAAAATATACAAAAGTTGCAAAAGTTGAACATTGTAATATTCTTTATGACAGAATTCCTGAGCAAAATAAGAAAAGTTATTAACGCATGAGTATTTATATACTTCTATATATGTATTAGGGAATTGTGTCGTGTGTTAGACTTTTACCAGGTAGCTAACTTGTTTCAAGTCTGGTTTAATATTTTTTTCGCCCGTGGTAAGGGTGACATATGATGACAATGATTCCCTCCCTGTAAGAGCTAACTGGACCTGTCTGAGATTTTCTTCGGAAAAAAGATATTGTAAACTGAGACGAAAGGTTTTGGCCAAAGTACAGCTCTATTTTTGCCCCAACCAGTAATCGAACCTTGTATCGCACCATAGAAAGATACCAGGCGGCCCTAGAGAGGATATAAGTACTTCTAAATATAAGTGAAAATTTTAGAGACAAATATTTCTTATTAATTCTCGTGCATTTTGTGCAACTCCAGAGGTGCATCCATAATATTCCTGTATGTGTGGTGACCAGCACACCTGATGTTTACTTCATTTTGTTTCAACTCTGGATTTAAAAGTACTTATTCGTTTATTTATTGATATTTATAACGCGTAAAAATGGAAAATTTAATAATTGTAGTTACAATGGAAAGTAATTTGAAACATATAATAGGTCTAAAACAATAAAATTGTGAATTTTTGCCATAGCTTTCTGAAAGGAAGGGAGCCTGACTTGCTATGATCTTTGCCCATCGGTTCGCCACTCTGCATTTCAAATTTAAAAGTCAAGATTATTTCTCCAGAAGGCAACGTGTTCTAGTTCTTCATGGAGTTTGTGGATTACTCCTGTTGTTTGCATATAACGTAATTACACCCGTGTAAGAAGGCTTTTAATGAAATAATTATGATGGTATTCACCATATCATCGTTAGCAGAGATTTCAAAAAATCATGGGGTTTAAAAAATGAAAATCATTTCGTTCATTACGAAACAAATAAAATAGTATCGGAAAATACAATGAAACAGTTGAAAACTAATCACATAAATAAGAGCTTTTCTGTGTTGATATCTTGCAACCATTCAAATTGTGCATTACGTCATTGGAACCCGAAAGAGAAATGTTGACTACTTCCGGGGTATGCAATTTCAAACTGGTTTCCGTCTATGCTGCGTCATACATTTGAGTGCCGACTCATAGCACGTCTTTGTTCACTAAAGGAAGTAATTCGACAGTTCCCAGGAGTTTATAACTGTCATCTTAAACAGGAACAGGAGCGGTTAGAGAAAACAAGAGGCTAGAGACATGTTATTTCCTACAACCGTTCCGCCGTACCTAATACGTAAACGGAGTTAATTTCCTCCACTCAACAGAAATAACTTATAGTGTCTAATGTGAATTAAAAGTAAATACATTTTTATATTGTTTACTAATTATGCTGATTGTCTTTTAATAAATTCTGTTGTTTTCAGTATCTTATGTTTTAAGACAATCAGTAGAATAATTTAATACGTAATCAGAAAATGTTTTTCAATTGTTGTTTGTAATTTTATCATTAATAGCTTTTATTGTTATTTGTAAAACTTTGTATTTACAGTGCATAGTGAACCTGAACATGGGAACAATAAATTTGTGGAACGTTGTACTTGGAATATAAAAAAAAAAACTTATTTCTATTATTAAAATTAGATGAAATACAATTTACTGATTACTTATTAAATAATTCTACTGATTGCCTTAAAACATAAGATACTTAAAATAGCAGTAAATCCATTTTTATTTCATTTTAACGAAAGAAAACTGTCGGGGCTCCAATTAAGACGGGCCCTGGGACCAGTTGCCCCGCTTCTCCCCGCCTATGAACGGGAACAGGAATGAATTCGATCTATGGTGTAAAAAAGAAGATACTCTCGTTGCTTCCCTACGGCTCCTTCGCCTTACTCTCCAGTCCCTTGCGTCCCGCTGCACCCCCAAATCCACCCAACCCCTTTCCTCTCCGCTCCAAACCACTGAACACCACTCTTCCACT